CTACCAAAAGGGTTAAAAATTTGAAATTTTTCTGAAAATGTGTATATAGGTACTCCCTATCATTCTTCGAAAATTCAATTTCAATACTATGTCATCCAGCTGAAATATTTAGAGTTATCCCTTGGCGTAAATGGACTGTATAGCCACTGACAGAGGGAGATATCTTTTAATTTCTAATTTATTTTTCATAATAATTAAGAAAACCAATTAATACGAAAAATAAGTTTTTTCAAATTACTACGCAACTACTCCATTATTTTAAATTTTTACGGCTAATGCTTTCTAAATAAAACATTGTTCCAATAGAAAAACAACAATTTTAATTTAGTCGATCACCAAGAAAATCATTTTTGATTTTAGCATTTGGTTTTTTTTAAATAATTGAGTAAAATCGAAAAATTTGTTAAACGATTGAGAAATTTAATTTTGTAAATTATTTTGACAGGATATATTGACTGGAGTATTTTTTAACTTTTATAAAAGTTTTAAAATCATATTTTGACGGAAAATCGTAAATAATACGGCCTTTCAAAATATGTATAACCGAACTTCGCTTCGAATCGTTTTTCGTTATCAATGGTCTATTGTTGGTTATAGATATAATAAAATATAATTTAATGTTTATTACTCTCCTAACTACCCATCTACAGTAATGTCAGTACTTGTTTCCAATATCAGCTATTTTCTTTAAAAATTGTAGCACACTATTTTCCAATGTTACTGTTAGAATGTAGTGAGCAACTTTTTAGTTTTTAAGCTTTTATTTCCTTTTGGACCCAACATTCGGTATAGAAATATTTTTTTTCTTTATTAAATTTATTCAGTTTATTCGATAAATATAAAAAAGTGTAATAATATAAAACAAAATGTTGTGTCAGATATTGTGTTCTCATAAAAATCTTTTGTAGTTTTTCTATTAGTGTAATGTTTACCGGTAGAAAATAAAAAGCGTATATAAATTTAAAATAAAGATATGCTAGCTTTGTAAATTAACAATTTTCATTTTTCTTCATTTTTGTTTTTTTTCGAGTATTATACAAATATCAAGATATTCAAAAAACAAATTAATTACTCTTGATCTAGATTAAAATGTAATAAAAAAGATTTCTTGTCGTTTATATATTGGATCGATATTTATTGTAGGAAACAATCCGTACAAATTGAAAATAATGAAATCTGTAGTAATTTGAAAAAAAAAATCGTATTTTTCGTCTTTTTTATTATTTTCCAATTATTATAAAAAATACATTAGATATAATAAAAATACTTTCTTTAAAATTAGAATATTTATATTAAAATTTTTATATTAAAAGGAACAAAAACGAACACTCGTCCTTTTTCAATTGGAGCAATATTTCAGGTAGAAAACATTATTTGCAAAAATTAAAATAATTAAACAAGGACGCTATTTTACAATAAATATTAAACAATTTTAATTGTTTGGTTTTTCCCAATTTTATCGAAAACTACCTTGATTATCAAAAAACGACTCTGTGGTTATATGTTAATACGAACAAAATCGTTTTCCTGTCATTTTTTGAGTGGAGTAATATTTCTGGTAAAAAATAAGTTGCGAAAATAAAAACAATGACATCGGTAACGCCGTGATGCACCGTAAATATTTGTCATAATACCTATAATTTTCTTTCGGGTTTTCCCCAGTTTTTTTTAAAACCTTTTGGAAAATAAAAAAATTACTTCCCAATGCACCAACCAGACAAAATTTCTTTTCAGAAAAAACACTATACTCTGTACACTGGCGAAAGATGTATATCGAAAAGTTGTTTACAGGTAGAAAAACAAAAAAGCATACATGATATTAAAACAAAAATTAGCAGTAGCGACAACGAAATACTTTTTTTTGGACGTAGTTGTTGCATTTGTGCACTACAAACAACCAGTGGCGTCCCGACCACTGGATATGATATATTATAAACATAGATAATATACCTAATAACGATAATAATGAAATTATTGAATATTTAATTAATTTAATTAGTGAAATATCCATTTGTTCTTTCACTCTTTCATTTGCACAGCTTTTGCACAACTATATAAATGTGTGTATTTGCGTACATAATAATTGATATTTTAGACTTTCGTTTGTTAAGTTCGACCGTGATTTATATTTAGTGAATTTCATTTTCGAAAAAAAAAACGATTTGCAGGCGTAAGTTTATCTAAAAGTACTCATAACTTTTTGTGCTAAATTTCTTAAAAAAAACATTCTTCTTTTGTAACATACATTTTTAAAAATCAATGAGGATGGGATGCGTAAAGTGTACACCATTTATAAGACTATAATTGTTATTGGTCACAACGTGCCACGTTTTATTTAAAAATATAATTTACTATTAGCTGGTAATTATAGGTTGTTTTTATTGGTAAATGTTTTAATCAATGGTTATACACCGGTTAGATAACATTATTATTGTAGCGAAGACATTGTCAATATAATGGGGTGTCACGTCGCTTGTGTATTCTGGAATATTCTACGATCGTCTAGTAAGTATAAACGTAAATTTACGACATTAAGCTCAGATTACGAGAGGGATTCAGGGTAAGCCATATCCCCCCCCCCTGGGCCACATAACGCTAATGGCCTTATATTTTTCACAGTATATTTTTTATTAGCTACTTTAGCTATGCCTCCCTGTGGGAGATGAGAATTCTCCCACGGTATATCTGTCTCATAAGAGGCAATGCATAGGATTGCGTTAGGTCGATAACTGGTGTAAAATTCTGTCAGAGTATGAGGAATTCTAAACAAGACTTTTAGAGTCTGTACCATCACGGATGTTCATGGGGACAACAGGTGAGAGCAGTGATGTATTGTTAAAATAAAGCGTGGATATACGCCTTAATCATGTATATAGAGATATATGAAGTAGGGTCCAAAAATATTTTTATCGCTTCGCTCTAAATAACTTTTTTAGATTCTGAGTTGAGCGAAGAAACTTATTGTTTTACAAAGATGTTTATTTTACTTTTTATTTTTGTTTGTATTTATGCACAAATGTTCTACCAGAATCTTGCTCCGGTTTACAATGAAAGCATTTTTCTGAAAAAAAATCAGACTGGGGAGATACTTTAAAGAGGTCATTTTTTGATTTTCTCAGAAGATTTCTCATCAAATGTGAAAACCGAAAAAAACGGAGAAAAAACAGTAAAATATACGAAATATATTAGTAAAATATTAAGTATAATATTATCATTATTCATCACTCAACGAATTATCACAATAAGAATACAAAATTATATTAAATACTATGATTTATGCTAAATGATAGTGGGATTTGGTCGACCGAAGTCCTCCCCACAACATATTTATTTTATGGATAATTTGATTATGAATCATTGATAACAATACTGATAACAAAACTTTAATTTTTAAACGATGGTAATTTAAAAAAGATAAATCTTCGTGTTACGTGTTACATCCTGTAGTACAATTTGTGTTCATCAGAATGTATTTTTAATATATATAATATATAATTTATATAAATATATAATAGGTATTTATAATTGCCATATAGGATATACGGTAGATACGGCCGTATACCCGCTTATCGTTAATTTATCATAAGCTATACGCCACGGATAAAAATAGCATATGGGGGGGGGGGTATACACCGTATAGTTTTACACCGAGTTTTGAAGAACAGGATAAGAAAGCTAATAACAATAAACACTTATAGGCGAGATTGAGATTTCTAACTATCTAGGATTTTTTTAAAAAAGAACGGTAATTTTCATGAGCATGTAAAAAAAGTTCAATGTGTGGTACTGTGGTCAGATAAAGTGGAGAGAAGTTTAATCTATTTAATATTTTTATGTGACGAGATGATTCTAATGAGACTTGAAGTTAAGTTCTACAAAAGTGTGGTAAAACTAGCTTTCGTTTAGGGTTCGGAGTGTTGGGCTGTAGAGAGAAAAATAGAACAGAGAATGAGTGTAAATGATGAAAATGCTTCGATGGACGAGTGGAGTAACGAGAGAAAATAGGTTAAGGAATGAATACAACAAAGGTAGCTTAGGCGTAGACTCTACGTCGTAGAGCTTCGATAGTAGTTAAAATGAAAGAATAGACTAAGATGGTTTGAGTATACCATGGGGAGGGAGGAATCTGAAGCAGTAAACATTGTAATGAAAATAAATACAGGAGGAAATAGGTGAAGAAGAAAACAGAGAAAGAGGTGATTGGATGCGATTATGGATGATATGAGGGTAGTCACTATATGCGAGGTGGAAGATCTCGTCAAGTGGAAGTTTAAAACGAGGGTGGCCGACATAAAATATGTAGGATGAAGACGAATAAGAAGAAGAAGAAGAAGACATGTTCTTTAGCTATAATATTATATTATATTTAATCGTTTACTTTGTATTTGTTGATAATTTATTGCTTTTAATATCTTTTCATTGATTAGTTTTAGTGGAAACTACTTGATCTTTATATTATATACCTATTGTTTTTGTTTTGATAAAACATACTTAGTAATAATTTTTAAAAATTGTTTGGTTTTTGTTTCATTTTTAGGGTCTCAGTGGAAAGTTTCACCTTAAGATCTTTAAATGTTTTAATCCGGGCTTGCACAGTATAGGGAATTTTCCGCACAATCCCGTGGGCCGTAAAATTATACTAAATGGGCTGTGGGTTGGCCACTCTAGTATTATACGATAACCACGTGGTTGTCGGGCGTTTTGCATTTATTCGGATTTTTCATTCCAACACGCTTCTCTTCTTTATGACGTCAGCCATTTTCCAAGTTACAGTTTATTAACTACTGTCAAAACAAAATAAGATTTTCAAATTACGTAAACGTTGTTTTTTTTTTTTTTCATATAATATAGTTTATTATTATCAAACAAGAATATCGATTAAATAATTCATATGCCGTTCTGCAATAATCTTACGAAAACGTTTATTTAATCATAATATAATATAATATTACATGTTATATGTAATAATATTATTTTGTAAATAGTTTAATAAAATATAGGTAGGTACTAATAAAATCTAAACATATTGAGATGCTAGCCAAATAATTCAATAAACGATAAACTTTAATAACGTAATAATAATAATTAGATACCTATATAGTATAATAATAATAATAATAATTATAATAGTAATAGTATCATTGTATTAAAGAAAATACATTTAAAAAAAAAAAAAAAAAAATTATACACTGTAAAACAATAATATTATGGTCAGTAAAGCTATATTATATTTAAATCGTTTTCAAACAATAAAAAATTATACGGATAAACATTTATAATTATTATTATACACTGAATAGTATATTAATATATTTATTGTACAGGGTGATTAATATTATATCGCAAGACACTGATTATCTCAGAAAGTATTAATTTCATCTATATTTATCAAATTTTTAATATTGTCATTTGAAAATCAAAATATTATAATGGTTTTAACACCAAACATAATAAGGGTTACAAAAAATAAGTGTAACGTAACATTTAAGAACTGCTTGTTTTATAAATTTTTCAAAAAAAAAAAAAAAAAATAGTTAATACTTTCCGAAATTTCCGAGTCTATTACACATTATACGTTACAATAATATATGATCATCTGTATAGGTAGGTAGACCTTAATCTTATACACATACATATATATATATATATTTATAATAAAATTAATAATATAATAACTTAGACGACTCAGAGTCGTTCTTAAAATGTCTTGTAAAATGTTAGCGTTAATAACCGATGGTAAACCAACAGAATGTTCCCTACAGTTTGCGGCAAATTCATAGCCATTTAGCGCTAACGGGATACCGTAAGAACGGTCCTCAAAATAATGTAATATAATTTTTTTAAAAATTGTTTTTACTATAATATTATAATGTTACACATAGAATTTCATTTTAAACATAATATTTTAGATATAGGCACGTTTATAGTTACACGAGGCGTTTGATCACGTGTGTGTGTTTGTCCCGATCGATCGAATTTATCGCGTCTGTCCCGAACGTCCCGGAATTTAATTATTTTTCGAAACGCTATAATCTTTTTACCGGGTCGTAACAAAATATCTAGACGGCCGACTCTTTTGGACATAATCAATATTGTATAAAGATAAATTTTTAAAATATATAGATAAAGATAAGAGATAATTTCTAGAATAATATTTATCTAGACGAATATAAAAGATACATAGCAATTTAGCTATCTAGATAAAAAAAAAAAAATATACGAATAATATAATAATATTATTCAATTCGTTATTAACTATCATAAAACTAAGCGTTAAAAGTAAATAGCTAATGGGACGAAAGAGGTAACTAATAGTAACTACATAGTATAATAGTTACTAATAGTAACTACTATAATAATAGTAACTACAGACATAATTTATTAGGTATATTGATGTAAATTAATTAATATTTTAGGTATTTATTATAATTATTAAACAAGTAAATTATGATTTAAACGATTTATCTGGACGACTCAATTGTTATTTATTTTGGAAAACAGCTCAGATATTTTATTTCCCTTTTTATTTAGACAAAATTAAACACCGAACGTGACACGAAAAGAAGTCGTATGCCGGGACAGACACGGAGAAAAACACAAACCACGTATATAAAAAAAAAAAAACAACATAATTTGTTAGTATAAAATTATATAGATAGTTAAATGTAAGTAGGTATGCAATATAAACTCGCAAATTTTAATATTATATAATTATTATATCTCTTACAAAAAACATTATATTTACAATATCGCGTAAAATGGTAAAGGGTTTTCATTATTATTATGTGGGAAAATCGCAGTTTCTTTTCGAATGTGGTTAAAAACGCTCTCGGGTGTAAAACCATGTCATAACCGAGCGGTAATCGTGATCTGCGGTTAGTAATATAATATACCATAATATATACATTCGTTTTCATATAACTATGCGGTCGAGAGATTAATTCCCCCGTCCACTGTGTCTTTTTAAATTTTTTTTTTAAAAAAAAAAAAATGCTACCTATAAGTTATAATAGACCGTGGATTTATACGTATAACGTAGGTACTGCGTATTTTCCTTCTTTCCTCATTTCCGGATTTTCGTTAATCATCCTTACGAATCGCATACTAATAGCATTAAAGTATAGTTTGCATTTATTACACGCTTGACCGTGATTATATATTTTCGCATATACTAGTTTCACATTTCCATCATTTTTACCAGACTTCCGAAAGAGGGTTATGCGTGTGTGCATGTATGTGATATATTTACTTCTTATTCCGTAAACAGCCCAAACGACTGAACAGATATTAATAAATAAGGTGTCGTTGGATTCGCTTTAATCTCGAGAGTGTTATAGACTAGGTGACGTCTTAAAAAAAATAAAAGGGAGGGGTAAAAAATAATCAAAAATGAATATTATATGCCTGTGCCTATTAATAGTATTTTTAATTTACCAATGCATCGTTCCTACGGGCGTCTAACAGTATTATTTTAGCAACGGATAATAACGGATCAGAGAGAAACTGTGATAAAACGAAAAATAAATTTTCAACATTCATCGGTCTTAGGAATGTTTTTTTAGCGATAACTAAAAAGAATAATCATTAAGAAAAACACCGAAAATGTAATCATTTTTACTGAATATCATAATAATTTTTAGTGCATATAAATAAGTATATGACTAATACACGACAATCGTTAAACGTAAAATAGTTTTATACTAATTATTGTTTATTTTCTAACTTATATAATATAAATATATTAAAAGTATACGACTCTATTACTAAATTGCATTTGTAGGTTTCACATAAATCGGACAACGAATTCACTGCGCTTTAGTGACATTTCGAGTGGACGGGGGTGGATGTTAAACGGTAGGGTTTTTTTTTCTATCTCAAATTGTCCCCATATACTACAACATTTATAAACGTTTGGAAATAGGTGCTATTTTAACGAAGTATACGAAAATTCCGACACAGATACACTAATTTTGTTTTGTACCTACGAACTAGTTTTACAATACTGACATCCATGTTAATATTAATAATAATTTTTAGTTCTGTACATATTTTTAAATTAGAAGCTGATTATGAAAACTTTTATTTGATTGACATTTTTGAATACGGAACGAAAAAAAACGGAAAAAATTATTTACGAATATCGATAATAGAATTAATAAAACTCCAAAATCAAACAAAAATAACAGCGATTTAAACAAATGTTTTCTTTCGTTCAAAAACTAGAATTATAAACTATGAAAACAAAAAAATTAATATATTTTAACAAAATTGATACAAATTGTGTAGAAATTAATAATTATAATAGGTAATATAACAATTTTTAAAAATAAATATGCAATAAAGAATTTTTAAATACGCCAGTAAATATTAAATTAACTTTTATGGCCTGTTATATGCCTGTAAAAGTATGAAGGAAAATGTGTATTTCAGTATATTATATAATATTATTATTATTAATGTGTAAACATTCGTTGTCGTACAACATTTTAAAATTAGATATTATGAAAATGAAAAAAAAACCGATTGACCGCAAATGTTCCCAAAAAGGTAGTTACTGCATCTGTGCCGATCATAATATAGTATACTTTGAATTTTTATCAAGAAAGTTGATTCTGGGGCAAAAAGAAAAATTACCTCTAATAACTTAACGAAAGAAAATAATTATTGTGAATACTTTTGAAGAGTGGAGAGACGGGTTAATTTTGGGAGTGGCTAGGTTATCACATATTAGTAGATTTCGGCGGGTAAGAAACAAACTTGAGTTTAGGGGGGTAAGACCGAAGAAATATATAACAGTAGTGTATACGCAGCACCTTATTGAGACTCTACCGAAATATCGTCCTGGTGATAAAACAAGTCAGACAACACAATAATATAAATATATAATGTCGTAATGATAAAAAAAAAAAAAAAAAAAACGGTTGTATCTTTTATTTGGACAATAATAATACACATAAAATCAAACCTCACTGGACCGATACATTAAACGAACGTCTGTATACGAAATAAGCCTTTCAGTCACGAGCCGTTTCAATATTTACATATTATTATTTACAATGTATTATTAAAAAAAAAAAAAATAATAATAATAAATACAACTTTTCCAATATTTTACACAATACTAATGTATTCATTATATTATGTTAATAATTGAGTGACTCTTGAGCATCGAACGATGAGAAAGAAATTTCGTTGTCGTAAATGATAGACCGTTCCTTATAATAATAATAATAATAATAATAAAATATTTAGCCATTAGGTATAATAATTGTTAAGGTACATATACGACGAGACGTTTTCTACGAGCAAAATGAGAAATCGAATGCACGCGAATAAATTTTACGAGACGGATTCTTCGCGTGTTGGGCGGTGTATGTATCAGTTTAGGTATTTGTATTATTTTTGTGTTTTTTTCTCGACAAATATTTATATACAATACATATACAGAGTAAATAATATAATATGCAGATTGTTGCAAATACTGTATAATGAGAATACGCGACGCTCGATGCATTTTAGGCGGTCTCTCGAATTGAATACACTGTTGCTTAAATATTTTCAAACCAGGGGCAACAATAACTCGATTTAAACATTCTAGGTTTGTCGGATGACAGATAAGTAGGAGGTGACTAAAATAATAATCTAATCAAATTGCATATGAATCGTGTCAATATAATATTATCTAGGACAAATCAGAACAGTATAAGTGATATGCAGTTAACTATAGTAGATACAAACGCAATATTAATTAGCAAGATTTAATGTTTCTGTTACTTATATAAACTATGCAAAAGGGGTAATTATAATATATCGTGTATGTTTTGAAACATTTATTTATGAGTTTTTGAATATATTAATAAACTGTTACATTAAAAAGTGTAATCGACTTACAATGCGTCAACAAATATTAAAATAAATGAAAATGAAAACGAATAGTTGATATATATATATTTTTTTTATAGATTTTTTAATAACAACTAATAAGATTAAAATACACTGATGAAGTAACCAATAATGTTACTATAATCAAATAATAACATATTAATAATATTATCAATAATGTTGTTTGTCTATACTTTTAAGGGGCATCATTAGGCAACCACTCATATAATCTTGGGGGACGTTAATAAGAATGTCAAGTCGAATATCCCGCATTCTCACATTAAACAGTATTTGATTATAGTGAATAATAACAATTAGTATATTATATAACGTGCATGCGAACGTCCGTAACGATATTATAATATTATCTAAAAAATGATAATCTCCGTAAAGAAGTACTAGAAAAAAAAAATACACCAACAAAATACACCGATAGCTTTACACAAAGCAGCAGATAAAATAATTTTGTTTTTTATTTATTATTCATTTAGGTTTATTTTTTTAGGGCCGGAAAAAAAATACACAGTCTCGGTCGCGTTGTTATCGAGGCGGACTTGGGCGATCCAAGGCGATTGCTGCGCGGACTATGCCGCCACCGTAAAAGTAAAATGACGTGTGGTGCATTCAAAGGTATCCCGTGGTTAAACGTCCAGGAAGGGGACTCTGTAGTTTTGATTGAAAAAGAATAGTTCTATAGACACAAGGTATTTATGTTTTTATGCGTTTGTCGTCTATGTGATGATTGCCACCTGTCTTCCTTGTTTAGTGGACGCCCTTGAACAGTGGTGTTTACGTCAGAAAATGTTTATAACGGTGTTTCGAGCGATATCGTCATAGGAGATGTGGTGGAAAATTATAAGTATACATACTCGTATTTTCCAATCTACGATTTTCAATTTTTTAAAGTACGTACGGATTCATTGATAAATTGTCTTGATTACTAATTGAGAAGTCGATTTTTCAATTTTTCCGTTGAGGAAAACTCCACAATTCGGGTGTAATTTGTGAAAATTTCATAATACCACCACGCGAATCCACGTGTTTCCTAACTCTTTCTGCCTATACAATTAAACTAACTACGAAATTACTAAACAGTCAAATATCGCGTCGTCGACGAGCAGAAACGTCTACGTTTTCCCGGGTGTGCCTAAGTAGATGTCATCGTCACGACGCTTCCGAGCCGGTTTTATTATGATTTTTTTTTTTTTGTCAATAAATGTGCATAATAAATATTAATATTTAATAATTAATAATGTACTATAATCGTGTAGATTATTATTATCGTTATATGATTATAATAACACTATAACGGTGTGGCGTCGAGTATAATATAATAATAATATGTACATTGAAAATAAATGAAGAGGGACATAGAAGTGGTTATTTTCATAATATTAAATTTGTTTCCCGCGCCGCCGAAAGTCCGCAAGTACACACGGTGCTGTTGTACCCACGGTCGACTCACAACATGACCAGATCGTCCTCGGGAATGGACTCGAAGTCCGTCCGTCAGAACCGCGAAGTGGCCGTGGCGTTCTGCGGCACATTTTGCGCAGCTGGTACCTGCACGCCCGACAGTGCAGACGACGACGATGGCGATTCGGACTTCATGTGCATGCGGTGTTGCTGCTGTTGTTTTTGACACTGGTGTGGTTGCACCAGGTATTGAGGCTGGTCCTGTGGGTGGTGCAGAGTGTTGGGCTGGTTCTGCAGTTCGTGTGCTCGTTGCCCGTAATATTCGTTCTAACGCCACACACACACACACACACAAAAAAAAAAAAAATAAAACGTCAGTATTACAGGCACACAAGAGTATACGTGTGTTAGGAATTTTATTCGAGATGATTTCGGGTCGGCTACATTGATATATGGTAGTTAAGGGAGTTTTTTTTTTTTTTTTAAGAAGATTCTCTGTATCCAAACGGAACATAGTTTAGTCTATTGGACACCCAGTAGAATAAGATTTTGCTTACTACGTGTCTACTAGAAAATAAACTGTATATAATTTAGATTATGGAACAAAGTATTATATTTTCTATAGGAAATAGTTTCACTAGTGCGGGTCTGGGGGATGGGTAACTGGAGAAAGTCCAAAAATTAAAAGGAAGTTCGATTTATTTACTCGCCGCAGAGCTTGTCTCTGTTCGCGGAAGATATTTTAAAATTAAGGGTGAGTGGACGACACGTAGTGGATATGCACTCAAAAGTGACCTGGGATATGTTTATTATATATTGTTTGTAATATTTACGAGTGGATCAGAACTCATGAATCGATCCGGTACAAAAACAACTCAAGGATGTGTAAAGCATATTATAGCATGCGGTGCGAAAATCTATATCTAACACGTGCCATGTATAGATAGCTAATAAAAAACACAAAAGTAATAGACCAAAAACAACAAACTAAAAAAAAAAAAAAAACCGTTATTTTCTAAAAATCACGTCTAAATATTACTCTTTATTATTATTATCGATTATAATAATGCTACATTATTCTCTAAAAATAAAACATTTTACATTTTCAAACGCGACACAAACATAGACGTTTACATGCAAAAATGCAGTTTGATGCGAATCGAATAATTATCATATACATATTAGGCATTGTATGCAGTCGTTCGATTGCTACAATGTTATGGAATTTCGTGCACAAAATTGATAGAATACACATTACAATATTATTCAAAATGTTCACTACAATATTTTATAAATACGTATAGGAACGACTATAGTATGTATAGTACAATATTATTACACACATTATTATATACTTATATTATAGTAATTACAATTTACAAAACGATGCATGCTGAACTTACACAAAAACATAAGCGTTAAATTTACAAAAAAAAAAATAATAATAATATCTAGTAATAAATTTAATTATAGACTTATAAAAATATTATACGGGAACGCCGCCGTTTAAAACAGAGGAGGGGGGGGGTCTAAATATCAGAAATACATTTTTTTTCGTATTTGTAAATGATCACTGGTGTACAAATATAATTATACTATACACCCTATAAATAAATCAGACGATGTTTTTATAGTGTACTTAATGTTTAGTAATATTTTTCGTCCTGTAATTTTGTTTACGTATTAATCGTTCGAAAAATTATTTCTGTCTGATCTTTAGTTTTTATTAAATCAATTTTATTTGGTTAATATTTTGTTATTATTTTTATTAAATGAGTCGTATTGAAATCAGGTGTGGCTACAGAGCCTTAATCGGGGGTTAAGGGGGGGGGAGAGAGAGCTAAGTCATAATTTTCAGAAAACTCAGTAACACCAACCGGAAGAATAATAATGAATAATATATCTAACCTGCAGTGGTGTTTCCAAAATTATTGTTAATTTATTGTAAATTGTTTGGTTATTAGCAATATTACGACGAATTTGTATTATTATTATTAATTTTTTATTGAAAAACTATTTCAGAGTAGTGTACCCGTGATCTGTCAACAAAATATTGAGAGTAAACGGTGTATATGCACTTTATTATGCACAAAATAGTACACACCCTGGTCCTGCGCGATAGTCGATTGTCTTAAAACAATTGATATTATAGGAGGATTGAAAATATATCAATAGTATCGATACTTTATAGTGTTATTTGTTGGTAGGTAGGCACCACGTTTAAATGTGTTCAATGTTCGAGATATTTTAATTATTAATAAATTAAGGAGGAGAAGTTATCGGAGGTAAAATCGGTAAAATATTCGCATGTATAAAAAGAAAGTATCATTCAATTATATTATACTACTTTTACTTAAATATTATTCAATAATAAACGATGTACGTTAAACTGCCCCCTCTCCTTTTTCGGATTTTGAGTTTTTCAATACCACTACGATTTAGTTTATGTTTGATAGTTTTCAGAATTGTTCTGCCTACCTACGACCGCTATAACCGATATGTTGAGGAGAAACTGTACAAACATTTCTACAGTCCGCCGGCCTGTTTCAAAATGACCAGACAAATACCACACATGTCGATTGCGAATTTACTATATACCGTGTAATTATAATTGTCACGTATAATACCTTAATAAAAACAGTATTAATCAAATTTGTTTTCTATTTCATTGCTAAATTAAATTTAAGTTTTATTTTTGGAATTAAAACAAATGTTTTAATTTATTAGGCAATATTAAACAAATTCCGAAAACTGTCGAACAAATACAAATTCCCATTTATAATACGACACCAAAAAAAAAAAAAACTGAATTTTTTATTAAAATCCGGAGTAAGAAACGTTACTACAACTTTCCCTCGGTATTTAAGTTCTAGTGGTCGCAGGAAGACCGAACGAATTCCGAAAAATACAAACGAATTGCAAACTAATTCTTGGTGACATTGACAAATCCAAAATCCGAAAAAGAGGCTGTAAGTGTAAGATACGTTGATAAACGAATAGTGTTACCTATGTTATACAATAAATGAACAATTGGACTTGTTTTCAATGCAATAGAGTAACGATAAATACCAGATTGATCAATTTTTTTAATTTTTTTAATTTTTTTTTTTAAATCAACGATACTGTCGATTAATTGCGCAGGTCTATGCCCCACGGGAACATCGTTGAATCTAACCGAGAAAATTGTTTTTATTTTTTTCTTCTTCACAATATCCGATAGCGGAACGATTCGGCATGCGTAACATTTTTTTTACGGTGCAAAACTGGCGGCGTGAAAACATAGAGAGGGGAAACAATGTAATACATAAATTGAACGATTAACGGTTAGCTACGATAACTGGTATAATGCGATATAATAATAATAATAATAATATTATTTTTCGTTATGGCGTGCGTGTGTTTTTTGAGTGTTATATTATACCGTGCTCTCGCGCTGGTGTAATTGATGATGCGGGTGATGGAGTTTTTGGAGCGTCGGCTGGCCGGCCAGCAAGAGCGGTATTTCGGCCGAACGGTCCTGATGGCTATTGTGGTTGTGGTAACGGCCCAGAGTCATGGTCCGGACCTGGGGCGGCGGCGGCGGTTGGTAGTGCTGGTGGTGGTGCGGCGGCGGCACGTAATGGTGCTGGTGGTCGACTTGCACGTACTGCATGCTGTGCGGCGGCCCGCCGCCGTTGTGCCGGTGGTGCATCAGGGACATGGCTTGCTGCTGTTGTTGTTGACGGTAGGGCTGTTGGTAGTGGTGGTGGAGCAACAGTTGAGCGGCCGATGGCGGCGGCGGCGGCGTCGGGCATACGAGGTTCGGGTACGCGACGCCGGCCGCAGGTGATCCGACCACGTCGGTCGTGTACAGCGGCTGTTGCTGCGACGGGTGTGCCATCAAACCGCGGGCCTGTAATGAAACGGTCACAGCGGTCAGTCAACCGGCACGTTAATTATAACCTGTTCGACGGGCCGCGTAATATTGCGCGCGTCGATCGGGTGGTTATTTAGGGACTGGTAAATGATGTACGACAGGCGCGTTACCATTGTCGGCAGTTGGGGACGCTCGCGCAGGCGATACGATTCGGCGTAAGGCACCGAACGATTGTAAACAAATTTTAAAAAATAAACCGTCCGCCGAACGCGCGTTACCTGTTGTTTGCACGTTTCCCCGTCGACCGTTCGCGACGTGTACATTCTGCCGCTGTTCAGCCGCTCGAACGCTTTTTCGTCTTCGTCCAAATAATCTGCGGGCGAAAAAACGGCCGTGACCAATGGATTTTTGCAACGTTTCTCGCCGCGTACTTACCGTTGTCGTGCGGTATGATGTCGGGATTCCTTTCGAGGCCGTCGTCGACGGCGTCCACGCGGTGATGGTGACGGTCCCCGTCGCAGACTCCGACCGTGTCGACTCCTGATCCGCCGCCGCCGCCGCCGCCGCCGCCGACGGCCGCGCCGACGTCGACGCTGCCACCGCCGTCGGCGGTCCCGTCGCCGCCGTCGCCGCGGGTGCCCGTCCCGGTACCGCCGTCGATGGCCGTTTTCGATTCGCCGTTGGGGAGCTCGCGTCGGCGGCGGCGTCTGCTGCGTTTCCGCTGCACGATCACCGCCACGACGACGATGCACGCGATGGACACGACGGACGCCACGCACCCGACCACGATCACGCCGACCATTGGCGAGAAACGAAATCCCGACGGCGTGATGGCTTTGAAAAAAAAAAAAAAAAAAAAAACAAACGAAAACTGGCGGTTAGATCAGCGTACGCAATTACAACGATAATA